CTGGCAATTTCAAAAATATATTTCTTCCGCCATTTTCTAGATTGTCCATAATTTTCAGATCTATAATGTGTAAGTAGCCTTAGAATATGTCAATTATTAGACAGAAAATATTATTATTTTAATTCTTCCCAGAGAGGAAGCCCCCTATCTTCCATATCAATTTGGACAGAGCAGGGATGTTCCTATTTGAGATCCTGAATTAGTAAGTGTAGGGGCTGTGCTGGGACAAAAGGTGGAACTTCGTTGGCCTCTGGGGAGAGGATTGGGGTAGGAGTGGGAGTGTTGTGCTTCTACCATAGACATTCCTGTGTCCTTGGTGCCTGAGATGGGAGAGGGTATGGCAAGGTGGCAGTAGCATAGTCATTGTGAAGCTGGGTGCAGGTAAGTAGGGAACTGCTTTTATCTTTTTTATATGGGTATTTTATCATTATTAGAAAACTCTTTCCTCCATTCTGCACATAATCCTAACACAGAGCTTAGTGTCTGCATTCTTTGTTACTCTAAGAAATTTTCCCAGTGTGTCTCACATATCAATATCAATTTTTCCTTAGAGGTTCTAAAGATATATTTTTGCACAAATCTAATTTTCCTTTTTTTCTGTCTTCCTTTAAGGAAGCCATTTAAAGTCCCAATCACTGATAACGGCTCTGTTGCCCTAAAAATGCGTCTCAAATTTCAGATAATCTGAGTTAACAGAATGTAAAGGCACTAGAGGAATGAAGAGGGTAATGGATTCGTGTATGAGTAAAACCTATGGAGGGGCATTTATTTGAGACCTTTTTTAATATTCTGCATAACCTTTAGCAAGGTACCTGGTGAAAACAGAATCAAGAGTGAGAGTTTTCTTTCTCTTAATTGTTCTCCTTTCCCAGAAGCTGGAGGTTTGGAATGTTTATGCTGGATGGGCCCTTGAGACATGAGCACTTTCATTTTACAGGTGAAGAAACTGGGGTCTAGGAAACATGAGTGATTGATGAAGACAAGTAACAGCAGACTAGCACGCTGCTCTTACACTCAGTCTAGTGCTCCTGGCATCATATGCTACACTGTCTCTGGTGGGCTGTAGAGTGATTCTGGTTTCCTGCTTTTTTTCTCACACCCAGCATTTAAAGGGGAAGGAAACTTTTAGGAGAACATGGAGAGAAAGAGGAGCAGGTTATATTAATTAATAAAGTTGTAACTAAAGAAACTTTGAAAGGAACCAAAGCTCCTACACAGTGTGTGAAGCCTTTGAGTAATTTAAAGGCAATCTTTGTCTATTTCTTTCTCTGTCAGATAAAGAGTATGCATTGTGATGATGTACTGCATTATTCTCATTTCATATTTGGTTTTACCATTTGTGTGTTTTAAATATTTACTGAAAACCACCCAGCTTAAACCGATAATGTTACCTTTTTAGTAAGATAACAGATTAATAGACAGTAGTCTTATTTTAAAGAAACTCTTCATTTTTATGATCTCTACATGGACCCAAAATGGGAATTTAGTGGCTGCTGGTCACCTCTAAAGTTCAGAGTTCTGTAGGTCTAGTGTCTCTGGTTTAGTCTACCTCATGATCGCTAATTAGCTTATTAACTTATGTAAAGGATTATTTAAGGGGATGGAACTGATTGACTATGATGAATTGGTTCAATCTAAATGATTGCCAAGATTTCTGGGCCTCTATCATGCCAGATAACTATCTGTTTTAGGAAGAACATTTTTCTCTAGTCAATATGTAAAACATGCCTCTTTTGGAGACTTTTAAGAGTTATCAAACCTCATTGATTGCACATACCTGTTCCTGTCTGAAAAAAAAAGTAACTAGAAAAATACAGTTAAAATTTGTGAAAATGCTTGCTTTGAGGGGCCTTTTATCAGCTAAGTACAGTTCTTTACATTTATGTGACAAGGGCTTATTTCTCTTCTTCCTGACAACTTAAATAAAATTGCTGTTTACTAAATGATTACCCTTCACCATGTTTGAAAATTGTTTATTTTCTTTAGCCCTCAGCAAACATGTATTGAAAATCAACTGTGTGCTAGAGACTTTTATTAGGGGGCCGAGCCCGTGGCGCACTCGGAAGAGTGCGGCGCTGGGAGCGCAGCGACGCTCCCACTGCGGGTTCAGATCCTATATAGGGATGACCCGTGCGCTCACAGTGCTCACTGGCTGAGCGC